CATGTCACTTCTTGCTACTTGCATATTTCAACCGAACCGAATATAAAATTCAGAAAATACAATGCTTTGAAAGATGTATCTTTCATGTTAAGTGACGTGTCACCTGAAGACTTCATCATCACATGATTTCAATTTTCATCTATAACATTTCCCTTTGTACCTACATATGAAGGTTCAACCCAATTGGACTTGTACTTCGGGAGATATACAGCTTCAAATTATTCACCTTTAATATCACGCGACTTGTCACTTGATGAGGTCATGACCAGATGATTTCAATTTTCGCCTAAAACACTTCCCTTTGTAGCTACATGTACATGTACATCCAAAGTTTCAACCAAATTGGACATGTACTTCCGGAGATATAGGGCTTTCAAGGATGAACCTTTAGTGTTATGTGACTTGTTATCACCACATAATGTCATTTTTCATCTGCACCACTTCCCTTTCTAGCTGTCTGCTAAGTTTAACCCAAAGCGGACATATACATGTACTTCAGAAGATATGGAGATTTGAAGTCTGCACCTTTCATGTCATATCACATGACCACCTGATGACGTCACAGTGACGATTTTTCTAATACCCTCTTACCGATATAAATTTTACATTCGCACCAAAAATTCAGGATCTGTGGCATTACCAGAAGCAGAACTAGCTTTTTAGACTAAAAAAAGCATATAAATCAAGCCAGACTAGCCAAATACACTGTACCTGTTTCGGTAGTGAAGTTTGACTGATGCAAATGGGCATGTGCCACGGGCCTGATAGATTTCATTACATGTATTCAACCCTGGCCCACAAATTTTCAGGAGGGTCAGTGTGATGCACTTCCCACTGGCCCTGCAAACAACCAAGATATTCAAGTTTATTTTGACCCCTCTATTCCACAGAAAAATTATGCAAATATACGGCCTTTAACCTTGAATGGCAAAAATGTGTACTTTCAAAAGGCGAAATTGTGTTTAAATTGTTAGCTTAAAATATTTCGAACATTTCCAGAAAGATTCAGGATTCTTGCACTGCTGGCATTTTTGGATTATGTTAATTTGAATCTTGACCAAAAACTGAAAATGTATATGAATTATACATATGCTGTGCATGTACGTGCACGGTGTAATGTGCAGTATTACATGTACATGTATGTATTATACATACAAGCACAATTTTATCACAGCACTAAGGCAGTCATTGACACATTGCTCTGATCATGGAGGAATGATCTGTCCTGAACCCTCCAAACTCAGTGAACGAACCAAGCCAACACTATTCCAGAAGTCATCATGACTTGATGTTGTTGACAAGTTGTTGAAGCTTCAATTTATCTAAGATGTGAAGGCCGATTGTTTAAAAAAAGGTACAATCTTGTCCTTTTCACACTATTTCTTGCCAAAAATGCTACTCATTTAGTGTAGTTCTCACCATCATTACGCGGAGTTTGTGGACATGAGCATGAAGATTTCATTTTACTCCAACTGGATTTGGAGACAGGGAACAGTCTACTGAAAATGCAGAAATTGAGGGCTCATGAGAAAGTCCCAAGTTAACAATAGTTTTTCATGCAGGAATATCATGCCTTGAGAAAATTGGACACCGTTATTTGAATCAGGCATTGACAACTGAAAATAAGCAAATGTAATCCAGATATTTTTATCACTATATCAGGATTTGAGATGACAGTGACTATTGTTAATAAACCGTTAACCATTTGCTGCCGGCGAACCCAGTTTCAGGTTCCTTTGGTTTGTACACAAAGTGGCAGCTGGGGTGCCCGAAATCGGACAACAGATCTGGACCTTGTAACAAAAGACTGTACGCGGGGACAAAAGACCTACTGCTGGGAATGCCATCATTTTTCAGCTAGCATTTATCGGAGGTAATCTGTCATTGTTTTGAAATAGGATACCGCTGTTAATTAAAATTAAAATCGCCGTGCACAAATACGGGTGTTTTTCAAGATTTCCCATTTCAAAATTCTTCAGAAAAATTCATTACTTCATTTACTGGACGTTTACACCCACACAAATGACTGTCTGGTGGCTGCTCTAATCTGAATGGCAACAACCATTGACATCCGTGTATTTCAGCTAGGCCTGTGCCTTGTAAAGAGAGCCCAGATTGAGCAGTGTTGCTCAATTTTCTTTTGTTCTCAAAACTGGAGCAGTTCACTGCTGGCGCTTTTTTCAACGAGGCCAGATTAGTGTGCAGCAGTATGTTGTGTTGCTCAGCACTGCAGCGCTGGTCCATGGTTGTAATAAATCCTTCGTATTGAATGCCACAAATGGTGGTGTAGTGTTTAAAAAAATGGACGTATTATCTCCGAAACTGACAACTGAAAAAATGTTCCAGTCCCAGCAGCTCGGTCTTTTGTTTGGAGTGCGGTCTTTTGTTACAAGACCTGGCTCCTTTGTCTGATTTCAGGCTCCCTGGCTGTGCATACAAACATAAAGTACCCAATACCACGTCCCCCAGTGCAAAGTGGTCAAATGCCATGTCAAGTGACACCTCTTGACATCATCTGCTCCTAGATCCTCTCTAGCTGGTGGACTAAGAGTGTGGGCCCAATACGAATTCAGTCAGATTAGCAATACAACACCACTGCACACACATCTGGCCACATTTGTAAAGACACCACTGCTATTCAGCAATGCACTGGGCCAATTTTGGGAACCAAGGAAATTATGCAACACCTCACAATTCTGGGCTCTCTTTACTGGGTGGCAGGCCTAGCTGCAATACCTGGGCGTTGCCTGTAAGATTAGAGTAGCCACTAGACAGTCATAAGTGCGGGTGTAAACGTCCAGTAACAAAGTAAAAAAAAATTTTTTGAAGAATTGTGAAAACGGAAATCTTGAAAATTGCCCGGGAACTCGTCTCACATACATGCAAATTCCACCAGGCAGGAAGTGGTTTAACTGAAATTTTTCTTTGAAATATTACTTGATGTTTTTAATTTGGGGTATATTTCAAATCGAATAAAGCAATTGAGTGTAAAACAATCATTTTTCTTTCGTTCTCATAGTAATCTTGAGCCAAAACTGAGGATTACTCTTTCATTCAGATCCTTATTAGCGTGTAGTAGAAAAACGAATAGTAACCTACTGAGAAAAACAGCAGCTTTCACTTCATGTCACATGACCCCTAATGATGTCATTATGACGATTCTGTTCTGGGACCTTCTTTACATGAACTAAGAAGGTGTACAAATATGAAATCAATTACATGTACATTTCGAGAAGACTGGCTGTTAAAAAACACGTACAAAACCTATAGGAAAATACTAAATATTCAAAATCAATTTAAAAATCAGGCAATGACATCATCATGACATCACAAATTGTGCACAATTTTTGTATGTCGGTCATTCCACACAGTTTATGACGGCGTCCCTTGTTACATCAGTGAAAATAAACATCTTTTTTCCCTGCGTGTGGATTCTAAATTGACATTGTTCTAAATCTTGCTAGGTTCTTGTAGTGGTGTGCTTCATCTTTGCTGAATAATATGACTTAATCTGTTGTAATGTGAAAATAAAGGGCAATAAAAGTTATCGATGTAACAAGGGATGCTGTCAAAAACTGAGCCTGAACTTCATGGAATGAACCATATGGGTATTTGTTGGCTGTTAAACTTTGATCATGATTGAAGATCGGCAAGTTACCTAAATAGTGCCAGAAATGAGCAAAGTCAAAGGGCTGAAATAAATCTTTTAAAAAATCACTTGATGACATCATCATGATGTCATTTTTCTATGCACATCTTTGCACTGAGGTCCTTCATTGATTGATGAAGATCCAAAGTTGAAAAAGGACCCAAGTTGATGGTGGAAGAAACATGCACAAAACAAATGGACCCTATGCACTGTTTTCTGCCTTTTGCTGACGAGATATAGGACTTAAAAGAATGTATCTTTAACCCTAACCCCTAGAGACCATTGAAATCATGCATATGCTTGTTTCATTCAGAATGGTTAGGGTTTACGTCACACGAAAAAATAAAAACAAAATAATCATAAGAAAAACAAAAGCTGTCCCAAAACAGTTAAAAATCTTCATAAAAAGAATGCCTTCTTTGAAAATGTATAAAAGGTCCCCTGCCTTTCCCCAAAAAAGGGGAAAAAAGCCATGACAAAAAATTAACTGTTTCAGCTGCTAGCCGAAACAGCTAATAAAGAAAACTCTTGAGTATTCACATACATTTTGCACACAATAAGGTACATCTCTATGCACTATTTCATCACAAAGCGTGATTATGGTATCTCACAAAATCCCTTTTGTATAAATTTCGTTTAAATATGATTCAAATAAAACACAATATCTTATAGACAACTTGGCTATTTATTCCCAAAATAAGTCTAGAAGAAAGCGTTCAATAAGGGCCGTAACAGCACAGAAACACTTTGGGAACACAGCGTAATACAAGCAACTGCACAAGCATTAAATTTGATGTTGTTGTCGGGTCATACGAGGCATCAATGATAGCATCGATATACAATTTCCTATACTTCAGCCTACAAAATTTCAAGGATGTACATGTACATGTAGATCACAAAAGAAAAACTGCGGCGATGGTCATAGGGTACAAAGGAGTCTTACGGTTGTACAACAGGTGGTGCTTCGCAAGCGCACAATGCACTCTGGCTATGGACATACACGTACTAGTCATGCCAGAAAAAAAAGAAATTTCCTCTGATGTATATGGTATTCACATTTATTTTTACATTCTGAGAATACTGTCAAAACGTAGAAACAATAATGCATTTGTGTGCAATACACAGAACATCCAGATCGACCATGGCCATTGTATTTTAAATGACCAAAGTAACTCTTTTAGAAGTTTCAAAAAATTATGTTGAGTTCCATTTTGGTGCCAGATGCTATCGTGGTTTCAGAGTCACAACAGTTACCACAATCGCCCAGCAGGCCCCACTGACCATCCTCTACAGTCAGATACTTTTTTTTGGCAACTAACAACCTCTCTTAAAAGGACTCTGACATCATTACCTTGAGACGCTTTTTGAGTTTGGCCTAGTTTTTGGCTTTGTTTCAGACTGGTGACACTGCCTGTGATTGGTATCTTGCTCTTTGACAGGCTGCTGCTACATTGAAGACCATCACACTCATCCTTCTCCAGTTGATCATATCCGTACAATCCTAGCAGTTCATCCATTGTGTTGCTAGCATATGTCTAATATTACAAACAACAAATATGATTTGAAAAACATTACTGCATATGGAAATATATTTAGTTTGAATAAGTTGTGCTATACATGTATATCTGTTTGAAATCATTTCATGTCAGACCATGTTTGTCTGCAAGGCTCTCAAAAAGAACACAGCACATTTTAAAAACACGACATGTACATGTAACTCAATGGGTATGTGTATATCATATTTTTTAGATCAACAAATTTTTTATACCATGTCCTGGGAATGAATGATCTGCACTCAAAACATCTTTTGTGTCCGTCTTACTCCTGAGTTCTTGGGGGATAAATAATGCTAGAGAGCATCATTATTTTACACTCAACAGCAGTAAGTGAACTTCAATTAAAAATGAAATATTCAAAGATATTTTAATGACCTGTGGTGTCTGTCACACATCCATGTACAGTGTACAAGTACGTGTACAAAATACTTCGAAGCTTGCTGATATCAGGGGTGAGACTGACCAATGATAAAATACATGTGGCTGAAAACAGCTGAAAAAAGGCATAAAGAAGCTGCACTGTGAAAATCTCCTATACTTTTGTACACAGGAAAAAAAGCTGAAATTCAAAACCAAAAAAGCTGAGAAATCTCACCCCTGTTATGTACATGTACGTGTACACAATGCAGAGATGCCAACGTTTCAACATGAAAAAGTGTAATCCTATTGCACCTCCACTTCTGGTTTCCCGACCGACACTAATTTTTCGCTGCAACCCGACTCTAAAAAGTTTCATCAGCAAATTAAAAAAAAAAAAGTTTAAAAAAAATCCTGTTGTTTTTTCTTTCAAAACAAACACCCGTCAACAACTTCTTTTCACATCAAAACACTTGTATTTCACCTGTCTAAAATTGTCAACGTGTGAATAGTAATTAATTATTAATTATATTTCCACATTAATTCTGCCGTTTATTTTAATCACTTTTGTGGCAATTTTTGGAAACTTTCGTCCCATTCAATCAGCACAAAAACTGTCCAAAATTCCTTACCTACATGTACATGTACCGACCCTATTGAATCGGAAGCAGAGCTGTTTTTTTTCTTGGCCTAACTAATGTGCTTCTTGGTGTTGTAAGATCCAGTGTGGGCAATATTTATCATTTCACAGTTAAATGCGCTGCAAAACATGTAAGCTTCTCCATGACGAGACTTTGCAATAAATGCCCATTTTTTGTGGTGTATTTGTCCCTCAACTCATTATGCAAAAAAAGTCCAGCTGCTCACCAAATATCCAACAATCAAGTCCTTTACTCCAGTCAACTTTAACATGATCAACACACATGTGTACGTACACAATCATGTTGCGTATGAAGTGCAATCGTGCCTATTCACCTCCCCCCCGTTCATCGTAGCATTACATGGGGCAAATGGATGAACTAACCACTCTGATTTCTATTGCTATTGATGCAACTTATATGCACAAACTGCGGGATGCCGGCGACACATTTCTGATGTGCGCATTGCGAGGCCAGCTCCAAGCTAGTTTACGTAGAGTCAATGCACAATTGTATGATTTTGTATCTTCAAGTTGGAAATCGTAAAAATCTTAGTCTGGATCGTACACTTGTAAACGAAATAAACAAATTCCTCCCCCAGGTTGGGTGGGCCGGGTCTCTTAGTGATACTTACCCCAGCTCAGCCTACCTATGTAAATTTCCCATGTGCCTATTACAATTTATTGAAAAGACTTGATTATGCATACTGCCACTTGACCCCCCACAATGTACAGCAGTCCCGCTGCCATGTTCGTCCTTTTCAAATCGGTGAAAACCAATAGAGTGAAAGTGGGGAAGGATGGGTGGGAGCAGCTGGGCAGGGTAAGTATCACTTGGAGAACCGACCCACTCTGTGACCCTCTCAGGGGAGGAGTTTCCTGCTTTCACATACCCCTGCCCAACACCGAAACCTGGAGATGGGTCAGTGATGGGAGTGTAGTTACTAAAAGGAACTTAAAGTGGGTGTAGCAAGAGCAAGTACTCATCAGGAAAAACTGCTAAGTAGAGGTATCCATCACCCGGCCCGGAACAGTTAGGACATTGTCTAGACTGCCTAGTGCAGGGTCGCTCTGCCAGGGGCTGTTTTGCTATGCAGAAGATATTTTAGGTTGCCCTCGGTAAGGTGGAGGGAGATTTCCAGCAAGCCACCTGGCCAATTTCAGATAGAGGAACTCCTCTGTATGACAAGGATACAGAGGCGGACCACACGCCATCAGCCCTGAGGTGAGATCGCGTCATCTCGTCATGTTGTGTTGGCCAGTCTCGGTTAGTGGAGATCGTCCATCGGGCAATAGTGTCCTTTGACGCCAGATGAAATGGTTTCATCGTGGTGATGAAGAGCTGGGAATTAAATTCTCGGTGATGTTCGGTCCTGGCAGGACACCAATTGAGAGCCCAGACCGGACACTATCTCTTGTCAGAGTCGTCTCCCAAAAGTGAGGTTATGTCTGGAACGAATACGTTGGGAGGCCGGAAGGTAGGCATCTGGTTTTTGTCAGAAACCCAATGGTTGGGATAAGGCGAACCAGATGTGGCTCCCAGCAGATGTGACCATCGGCAATCGATAGGGCATGAAGCTTTCTACCTTATCTCGATGTAAGAACTGGTGGAACACCTGTTTGATGCTGATGATGGAGGTCAGATGCATCGGACAGCAGTTCAAATGGGAGACCAGCAAGTATGTGTAGGACACTTCCGAGGATAAGATAAGGCGTTTTACGTGGGGACACTAGACAAACTTTCCTCAAAGGAGATTGTGGATGGCAGCGCTGTCAGAAAACGTCGATCTATCGCTGAAGCTCGAGTGAACAGCTGCCAATGCCGACCAGTAGTTGTGGATGGTGGCAATCTGGAGGCCTGAGTAAAACAAATATGTGAGGAAATTTGCAACGGAACTACAGGAGCTTCGGTTGAGGGAAACATCATGGTCATCGCACCATCTCGTAAAATGTTGTCGACGGCTGTTGTAAATTTTGCGAGTGGACAGTCGTCGACCCCAGTCTGCCATGGATGCAGCATCTGCAGAAAGGCCCGACGCCCTGAAGGATAGTTGAATGATGTCCAGCACGTCAAATGAAGACTCTATGGTGCTGGGTGGAGGATTCCTGACTTGGGTTGACAAAGGATGTCCTCCCTGACTGGAAGGACCAGCAGCTGTCGTACCAGGAGTCTTATAAACCACAGTTGGCTAGGCCAGCACAGAGTGATGAGGAGGATCCGACATGGCTGTCGTTCTATCTTGGACAGGAGACGCAGGATATTGAAGGAAAAGCATACGCCAGAAGGCCCGACCAGTCGAACTGTAGGGGGCCTGTCGCCCATGTCCGTGGGTGCGGGAACCTGGAGCAGAACTTCGGGAGATGGGTTTCGTCAGTGGAAGGGAAGACGTTGATATGGGGATGCTCGATCTCCGCAAAGATTTGGCTGACCATGTTCGGGTGAAGAATCAGCCCTGTTGGTTGGACGGTGCCCGAGAATGTGTATCTGCTATGCTTTTGCTGGTTTCCACTATGTGGACAGCCTGGAGGGCAATCCCTTGATCGTTCGTCCAAATGAAGAGCCACCACACAAGGGCACAGTGTTGAGGAGAAGTACAAAGGGGAAGCTGGCTGACATGTGCTCGGCGATGGTCCACCACCAGAGGTGATTAGGAAGGTCGGCCCACATGCAACAGAGGCTGAAGTATTCATTAAAAGAAAAGAATAGTGAGCTCTGTTACACTGTACTATGTTCGATGTGGCCATTTGTATCCTGAACTTGGAGGACTACGGCCATATCATTAAATGCAAGGGGAATTAAGATCATTCCGTATGCATTGCAAGAATAGAAAAACTGGTAAAGAGTGTCCAAAGATGGAGAATAGAGATCGCGAGTGGATAAATGGTGAAATCAGAAATACTTGCCAAGTCAGCCTTTTTTCTTTTGATTACTCAAGGCACAGTCGGAAAAGGCAACCAAGGCAAACCATTAACAAAAGTGAGTGCTGACAGTAGGCACACTTTTGTCAGACCTTGTAACAGTCACAGTCCACTTTGGACACGCTCATTAAAGAAGAACTCATGTCCGCCATGCAACATGGGGCGTGGCCAGGCCGAGCAGAAGAATACAGTAAAGTCTCGATAACTCAACACGGGTCTAAGTTATGAATCATTTCTGACACGCACACTTCGTCTTTTCACACCGGAACACTTTCAAGTGCGGTACAAAGATGATCAATCTAGACACGTAAACCATGCCACATCATCACCACAAAATCCGACTTCCAGGAATTGGCCCAATTTTTACCGTGGGCAGTCGGCAGTCAGCGTCGGCAGGCCAACTGATGGCTCTTTGCGGTGGCTGCGGCCATGCATTGGAGATCTTTTGTGTGCACCACACGTACGGAAGTTAAGTCTGGCCTGATGGTCTGGCCCAACTGCTTGCGCTCGACCATGTGATATCTGCCCAATTAGAGCCACAAACCACAGCATGCTCATGCACAGTGGATCTACCACATGGATGCAACGCAGAGCTTTTGCATAGCCAAATCTCACCCCTCCAAAAAAACAAAAGTTTGAAAATAGAGAACGAAGTACAAAAAATAAAAACAGACACCAATAGCATTCTTGTTTTTACAAAATTTTATTGAAGCCAAAAAGGTGTGCCCTCATCTGATGAAAAAGGTCGTTTGACTCATATGGAAACCCCGCCCAAGTACACATGTGCAAGGTGCTGCAGTATCAGAAATGGAACCACCACAATGCGTCACACATGCACAACGCAAAAGAAAGATTTGCCACACAAAGGTACATAGTTTAAATGATTTACTTAACATGTAATTTGTTATTTATCAGCCAATTGACAACAAAAATCCTCCACAAAAATTTTTTTCTATGAACAAACACTTTTGGCACCAAGGTATAAAATAACCACGTCGTTTCAAAAGTCATTGTAGGGAGATTTATGGTAACTGTGCTTCAGCGTATAGGTACATGTTATGATACA